AAAAAATTACTTCACGCTTAAAATAATGAGTGTGTAATACTATGAATTTAACTTTGAGTATAGCTTTAGTTTTGTTTTGCTTTTAATATGCATTACTATCATTTTATTTTATCTGGCATGTTAGTATATATTTTTTTCGTTGATTAATTTTTTATTTTTCAATTGAGGAATGGTATTTACACTTTTATTATTAATTTCTAATAAGAGTGGACAGTAAATTTGGTCCACACTAACCTGAAGATCTTATTGGAATTGGATTTTTTTCCTTTGGCTATTTGGTCAATTTTTTAATGGTCCATTAAAAGAAGGTACGATCTTTTTGTTGGACTTAAATATTAATTCAACCTTAAAAGCACATTCCAATATACACTAGATGTTTTACAGATGTTTTCTCACACATTAAAACAATCCTGTAAAAGGACAAACACTGTTTGATTCCACTGAAACAAGGTCCCTAGAGTTGTCAGATTCAGAGACACAGAAAGTAGAATGATGGTTGCCAGGAGCTGGGGGAAGAGGGAATTCGGAGTTAGTGTTTCATTGGGGACAGAGTTTCAGTTTCAGAAGATGAAAACATGCTGGAGACAGGTGATGGTAATAGTTGTGCAACAACGTGAGTGTACATAGTGCCACTGAACTGTACACTCGTATATGGTTAAAATGATAAATTTTAGGTTATGTGTCTTTTACCACAATAAAAAAATTTTATTAATCCTGTGATTTAGCCATTTCATCCCTATTTGTAGGTGATGAAATGAGGTTCTGAGTTCACACTGCTGATAGGTGGTAGAGTCAGGATTTAAACCGAGTGATCTGGATTCTAAGGCTTCAGCATTTCCCGTTACTCTCCTCCCTGTGTGAGAGCTTCGGGGAGTTCCTCCCCACCCCCCGTATCCCCCCAACTAGGGAACAAGATGTGACAGTCTCACTCGGATACCTCCCCTCCTCCAGAGGAGAATTTGCTTATTTCTCATGTCTCCTCAGCTGTCAAGACGACCACCCCGGGCCCCACCACCCCCACAGCTGGCGTCGGGGTCTCAGAGGGCAAAAGGAGCTCAGCAAGTCTTGGTCCCTGAGTCTGGAAGCTGTGGTCGGGGTGGCACTGGCCAGCGCTGTGCTCAAAATCGCAATTTTGGGACAGATAGTCTACCTTGAGTGGAAGAGAAGGAAAGGTAAGTGGTCCAGAAGCCCCGCCCTCTCTCCAAGCTACACAGTAGGTTGTTTCTCAGAACCCACCTACATCAGAATGACCCCAGGGCACCCCCGTGACGCAGCGGTTAACTGCCCGCGCTCGGCTGCGGGGGGCCCAGGGTTCGCAGGTTCGGATTCCGTCGCGCACGGACGCTCGGCTTCTCAAGCCATGCTGTGGCGGCGTTCTGTATAAAGTAGAGGGAGATAGGCATGGATGTTAGCCCAGGGCCAGTCTTCCTCAGCAAAAAG